ATTCTATATACGTCTAGATACTCTAGAATAATACTTTCTACGATCGGTAGAGAAGGAGAGAGCCCTTATCTTTTTTATAAAGCTTACTTTCGGCCTTTAAAATACTATCCGTCTCTACGTACTTAAGCTACCCGAGATACGCGAAGAGATAATTAATATTATCTATTACTTCTAGGGACTAAATAAATCGGAGGCGGAACGTAAGCGAAAACGCGACGATAGGCTATCGGATCCCTTACGAAAGAGAACCTTTAGGGATCCCTTATAAAAACCCTAATAAGATAGTCCTCCTCGCCTATAGAGAGGGGGGTACTAAGGCCGAGGATACCGAGGAAACGGTCGCTAAAGAGGTTATTTCTCTAGCTATAATAACGGATTTACTCGCGAAATACTAGTAAGAGATAGCCGAATTACTTCTAACGAAGGATTAGATTATATTATCTATTATAGATATAGCGAGAAAGGACACTATACTACCGACTATCCGAAAGGACCTTACGGGAAACTAGCTAAGGTATAAAACGCCTAGTAGGGAAATAGTAGCGAGACGGAGTAGACCCTATATCTTCGTTTCTCCCTTTAGTAGGGACTTATACTTATTTTTATATACCGATTATTATCCGAAATAATATCGAAACCTACGTAGATCTTAATAGTAGAGCTAAGATTAACCTTATTAGCTTTAAATTTATTAAAGCTTTTAAATTTAAGTAAATAATACTAATAGAACTAATTATCCGTACTATTAATAATCGCTTAACCCTAACGTATAGAGTTTAGAGTATTCTAATAATTATTACCGATTCGAGGGGTATTATACGCCGATTTACTCGCTTCTATATAGCGATTAACCGAGATCCCCTATTATCTAGAAGCCTAGTACTTCTCTCTATAATAACCCTCTATAATTACGATATATATATTACCGGACGAAGCGGTCTTTAGTAGTTTAGAATACCCTTTATTAAAATCCTACTAGCGAAGAAATTCGCGAAATAGACCCGAAACTATATATATATCTTCGCCGTAGTGCGTCTACCCGAAGAAGTATAGCTACTAATCGATAAAGATACTACCGAAGAGCCGTCGAATCTAAACCGATTATTACCTAAACTTATAGAGGTTTATAACGCTTTTATATCTTAATATAATAATATCTTACTTTAATCTAACGACTATAACTATATAATTAATCTATTACCCGATACTTAAGTACTATATAGCCCTATCTACCCTTTATCTTAGAAGGAACTAGCGGAACTCCGCCGTTACCTTAACGAAAACCTTAAGAATAGCTATATATATAAGTCTAAAAGCCTAGCGGGGGCTCTAATCCTCTTTAAACTAAAATCTAACGGAAGTCTACGTCTCTACGTAGATTACTAGGGACTTAATAAGATTTTAGTTAAGAATCGGTACCCTTTATCTCTTATTTCGGAGATTTTAGACCGGCTATCTAGTATAAAGATCTTTAGTAAGATCGATATCTAAGATATCTACTACTAAATTTATATTAAGGAAGGAGATAAGTAGAAAATAGCCTTCTATACGCGATATAGGTATTTTAAATATACTATTATACTATTCGGCCTTACTAACGTACTAGTAACCTTTTAGAACTATATATATTTAATATTTTATAATATTCTTAACGTCTTTATAGTAGCTTATCTCGACGATATCTTAGTCTTTTTATTAGACCGGGATTCTTATATAGACTATCTCCTTTAAGTACTTAAACGGCTACGCTTAGTAGGTCTATACGCTAAATAAAATAAGTACTCCTTCTATTAGGACTAGGTTAATTTCCTTAGCTTTATAATCTTCTCTAAGGGTGTTTCGATAGATCCTTAGCGGGTTTCCGATATCGCTTTATAGGAGGTTCTAAAGATATACTAGGAGATCTAGGTATTCCTAGGATTTTATAATTTCTATTATAGATTTATCCGAAATTACTCTTAGATTATACTTCCTCTTATAGGGTTACTAAAAGGAAGTAAGAATAGGTAGAAACTAGGATAGGTTAACCTAACCCTTACCGAAAGGTTAGCGTTTCGCCGCCTAATCTCCGCCTTCTAATTAGCTCCTCTATTAAGATACTTTAATCTATCTAAGCTAATTCGGCTAGAAACTAATATATCTAACGGCGCGATAGCGGGAATCCTTTCCTAGCTAGACGATACGGGTATATAGTATCTAGTAGCTTTCTAGTCGCGGAAGTTCTCTAGGGTAGAGATCCTTTATAGGATACCGGATTAGGAGCTATTCGCTATTATATATTCGTTTAAATACTAGCGATACTACCTTAAAGATAGTACCTATCTAATTAAGGTCTTTTTAGACTATATAAATCTATAAACTTTTATAAAGTAGCTAAAGCTTAATAATAGATAAGCTAGATAGTATCTTTCTCTTATATCTTTTAATTTTATAATAAAATACCGCGCTAGAATAAAGAATCCCGCGGATAGACCCTCTTAGCGATAGCTACCGAGTAACTATAAGGTTAACCTACTTTCGCCGCTATACTAGTAATTAATAGGCGAATAGCTAGTAACTAATTACCGCTATATAGGGGTCTAGTCGTATACTATAGGAGATCTTACCTCTAATATTCTATACTTCACGAAATATAAAGATAGAGAAGAATTAACGGAAATAGTTAATTAGGAAGAGCTTAGCCGAAGTTACCGCCTCCCTAAAGTATAGGTATAGCCTATTTATACCTCCGTAATAGCCTACTTATATAACTTAAGTAAAGGGCTTAAGGAGCTTATTAGGTAACTCTAGGATAGAGACCTAGAGATCTAGCGCCGAAAGACTACCGTAACGTAGGCGAATTACGGGTTTAAGGGCTAGTTAGTAGGGTACGATATCCTACTAAGATTTAAAGAATAAATCTATATTTCTACGGGAAGTAACCTTAGAATAAGATTATTAAGTATTTATTATAATAATCCCCTTACTAGCTATTTTAATCGCTCTTATACCCTTAAACTAATAAAAAGGAAATATTACTAACCGAATCTAGACTAAGATATTACCGAATACGTATAGGATTATTAGGTATACTAAGGTATTACTATAAGAAGGTATAAGCCTTATAGAGAACTCTAATCGTTACTAATCCTATTACGATCCTTTACTACACTCTCGATAGATTTCGTTATAGGACTCCCGCTAGTATTCTATTAAGATAAAGAGATAGATTTAATCCTTATAATCGTCGATAGATTCACGAAATAGTTACTATTCTTCGCCGTAACGACTACGATTACCGCTATAGAACTTACCGAATTATTCTATAACTCTATAGAGTTACGTTTTAGACCGCCTAAAGATATTATCTCCGATCGAGGGCCTATCTTTACTAGTAAATTCTAGTCGAGTCTTTATTATATATCTAAAGTACGCCTTAGGCTTTCGACTATATTTTACCTATAAACCGATAGCTAAATAGAGCGGATTAACTAAACCCTTAAATATTACCTTCGGTACTTTATTAGCGAAAACTAAACGGTATAGCTAAACCTACTTACGTTAGTAGAATACGCTTATAATAACGTAATCCACGGCCGACCGGATCACACGGCCGACCGGATCACCTACCCCCATAAGAATATTTTAAAATCGATTATCTCAACCAACACCTATCAATTCAATTAGATATAGCGATTTTTACATACATTAATCCTGTGGCCAATCTCCCTACATCCACTACACCTAGGCGGAGCCCTAGCTGCTAGCCTAGTTAGCTGACTAGGCAATTCGACCTCTGCATGCGAATCTACCCCATCATCTTCCTCTGGCTGGTTTAGCTACGTAGCTAGCTATATAGCCTCTTCAATGGTTAAACCCTCTTCGTAGGGTATCTTCTTAGTTGACCGATTGCGCTTTTTAACCATCTTCTCATTCGCCATGCGCAAATTCGCGTTATCCTCTACTAGTAGTGCACTACTATGAAGCGCTAGCTGGAACCCCTTAATCATCTAGTCTAGGATCTCCTTTGATGGGCTCGGAGGGCTATTTGACCGCCGTTTTAGTAGATCTTTTAACATAGAAGCTTGCTTAAATAGCTAAGTAGCGGTTCTAGGCGTTTGTGGTGTGAATTCGCTAGATCTACTACTTAGCCGGCTGTTTAGTAGTGTTAGAGTTCGTAGAGAGATATTAAGCTTATTAAGTACTCTCTTAGTATCTAATGGTACTAGACCGCTAGCTACGAAGCTGTTTTTGATAGTAGGATTAGTTGATTGGAACGCTTCTAGCCGCGCGTGCTAGTAATCCACTAAGAAATCGTGCTTGTCGATATGGTTATATCCTCTACGCGCAAGATCGCTAACGAAGCGACCGTACGTACGCTTAACCACTGCAAAACACCCAACATCTAGTGGTTATAGTAGATGCGATGAATACGTAGGCATACAAAGAGGTATAATATCGTTTTCTGTGCAGATTCGGTCGAATTAGGGTGTAAGGTGGCTACCATAACCATCAAGAATTAATAGCCGAAACCGACCTCGTACGCGCGAATTCGTATATAGTATAAAGATCTTTTGTAACCAGCGTAGGCCAATCTCATGGGTAGTCCAACTATTAGCAGAGACCTCGATTCGCCAGTCTTTCGGTAGATTTTCGTTAAACCATCCTATAATAGCCACTTTGCCTTTAAAGACTATACATGGCGGTAGTGAATAGCCATCTACGCAGATTGCTTCGATCGTAGTAACCCATTCGCGATTTCCTGGTTATAGAAGACGTGGCCGACCGTAGTATTCAGCTCTTATAACCACTTTCTACGAAGATATAAGGCCCATTGCAAAGCCTGTCTCATCAAAGTTATAGATATCCTCCGGTTGTATACCCTTATCATCGATTGTGCGCTATACGGTCGTAAACCACTGCCGAATCGATTTCGGATCTTCGTTTAGGGCTCTTTAGTAATCATATCTTCGCGAGAAGCGAGATCGAAGCTCATCGCGGCGTTTAATAAAGCTTGATAGCTAATTAACACTAACAGTAGGCGGAGGGTTACTACCGCGCGTAGCAAGTAGGATATTAGCTATTTCTCCCACAGTAGCCGGTCTAGGCGCTGCTCCACGTGAATCCATAGATAATATCCACTCAGCAAGCGCATCCTCTTCGGTTTGGGTCAATTTATGACCAGATGGGCGCTTATCAACGCGTGAGACGCGGCCATCGGCGCGCGCATATAGGGTAGTGTAGGGTATCTCATATAGCTTTGCTGCTGCGCGGATAGAAGAGATACGGCCCTCTTTTAAATCAGAAAGGGCCAATAGGATCTTGCCCTCTTGGTTGGCCAATTTATGGCTAGATTCACTGCGAATTGGTGGCATGGTAGGTAGTTGAATTAATCAGGTTGGTAGAAAGACGCGAATTTAGAAGGGGTGATCCGGTCGGCCGTGTGATCCGGTCGGCCGTGGATTACGCTAATATAGTTAACTTAATAATAAAATTCTTCCCTTTCTAAGCTTTAATAGGCTATTCGCCTAGCTTCTAATACCGATTCGAGGGCGAATCGGCCTTAGGAGAGGTCCTAGCGGTATCCGTATGAATTAAAAAGCTCGAAGCACTCCGAGAGAGATTATAGGAGAACTAGCGAAAAGCTAATAAATTAATAGCGAAATACTATAATAAAGACTACTAACTAATATAATTTAAGAAAGATAATCTTATAGGATTATTAACTAAGAATCTAAGGTTAAAAGGAAGTAAGAAGCTAGCCCCTCGCTATATCGGACCCTTCCGAATCCTATAGGCTATTAGTAAATAAGCTTACCGCCTAAGCTTATCCTAGTAGTATAACCGAATCTATAACGTCTTTTATATATCCCTTCTCGAACTATAGCGGAAACTAAATAGGACTAATCACGAATTCCTACTAATACCTAATCTCGAGGATAATAATAAATACGAGATAGAAGAGATTCGCGAAGATAGGACTATTAATAGCGAAACTTACTTTCTAATAAAGTAGAAGGGATAGCCCTCTAAATATATTTAATAGGTCCCCTAGGAAGATATAGGTAATACTACGGAAGCTATATAGTCTTACTAGAAGAGAAAGAAGGGGAAAACCGGATTAAACCTAAAGGATAAATAGCGAAAGGTCACCGAAACGACGGCTAAAATAAGACGATCCCTCCGCTATAAAGCGCCTTAAGGATAGGACCTTACTAAGTATTACTCGATACGCTATAGCGGGAACCGCTATTAAATACTCTCCAGAACTTTATACTTAGCGTAATAACTTTCTCCGCTAAGATACGCTAGTAGTTCTTAGTCGGAGGACCGGGCGAGAAGGAGGAGATAAGGAAGGAAAGAAAGAAAGAAAGGGAGAAAATTATTTAATTTAAAGGACTACTACTAAAACCCCGCCGAAGCGGCGGCGAAACTAAAGGCGATCCCTTATAGAAAGATAACTTAAGGGTAGGCCCTAGCTAAGTCCCGCTAAGAAAGTATCCTAGTATAGATAGGCCCCCGAAAGAATAAGGAAATAATAAAGAAATCTAGTAGAATCCGTAGTAGAAGGATAATAGTACCTAGATCTTAGTCTCTATAAAGACGGGGAAGTCCTTTATTATAAGGGTGGCTACCTTATCTCTACCTATAGAGGTATTATTATTATTATTAGAGTCTAGGTTATCCTAAGCCTTTCGAACTACTCTTTAAATCTTATTTAAAAAGACCTTTTTCGCTAGAGTCTAAGTAATATATCCTTTTTCTCTAGGGTAAAGATTAAGAAGCCGCTTATTAAAACGGTCTTTTTTTTACTCCGGAGTATTAAGGGGACTAGGGATAGGGATAATAAGAAGGGTAGTACGATAGCCGAAGAGAAGTACGTTATAGTTAGCTTAGGTTAATTACCGAAACGCTAGTTAGTATATTTATAAATAGAAGTAAAGGAAGTATACCTTAATTTAGGTCTTACTCTTAGTTAGTAAGTACTTCTTATTGTAAGCCTACTCCGAAATATTAAAAGCTTAATATAGGTCCTATATTAATCTAGCGATAATTAGACGGGCTTCCGTAGGAAATAGCTAGTCTATAAAGCTTCCGGGGTCGCTTAGGTCTATCTATCCTACCTAAAATATTTCACGCGTCTATAAAAGGATAATAGCTAGGTCGTAGCTATCTCCTTTTATAGTAGTTATAACCTATAGCCGTTAGTCTTATCCTCTTAAGAAGATTTAGCGAAACCTACTAGAAAATATAAAGTATTATAAGCGGAATACTACCGATATATCACCGAGGCTTTAGCGTCGCGGACGTATTCGATCTAGATAGGTTAGTCGTTATAGGTAGGGTCCTACTTAGCGAGCGCGGTCCGAAGATAGTATATATACTAGAGAATCCTATAATAGAGAATCCCTATAATAATAGGATTCTCTAGGAGAGGCCGGATTCGCGGCGGTATCGTGAGGTTTTCGGTAAGATCTAAATAGGGATTCGAGGGCGAAGAGACGCGTTAATATAAAGGAAGCTAATAAGCGAGAGAGGTAGAGGAAGGAGAGGATAAGAAGTAAGGAGGAGAAGAAGTGTTACTAACGTTAATAAAGGAAACGTACTATCTTTATTTACTCGCCTATACGTTTACTACGTTTACTATATTTAGTTTCTATTTTAACTAATACGTCCCCTTTTAGGCGTTTATTTATTTTCTATATATCGATTTCTCTTAAGGGCGAGAGAGTCCTTAGAGGGGGGATAATTATTATGATATTTCGATAAGACTATTTATATACTAATATTAGGGCCTTAGGTATATATAGACTAAGGGTTCTACTAAGGCGGTAGCTATCCGGCGGTTAGTCGGTAGCCCCTCGGCCGCGATATACGATAGCCACGCTATATATAGGCTACGCCTATAGTATATACTATATATTAGCTATACGGTAGCCTTTCGCTATGGTTTCCCCCTTACTTCGTGTTTGATTCCTATTTATATAAAAGATAATATATTTAAATTGATACTTAAGGAGTAGGATTTAAGCTCCTTAAGAAATAGTCTTTATCTTAATCTAACTTAGTGCTTTTCTCTCCTACCTAGTTAATAGGCCATCTACCCTATAAAGTAGATATTTCCTTAATATTTAGCTTATAGCTACTAAAATAGCTATCTATATATAAAACTAAATACTATACCGATTAATTAGCTAGTAATCTCTATATAAAGCCCTAGTAACCTACCTTAGTAAAAAAGCACTATACTAGCTATATATAAAACCTAACCTTTCTAATATATAAATCTTTAGATATAAAGCTTATATACGTATTAATAAACCACCTAAACTAGCTAAGCTAGCGCTACGCGCGGCTATTAGCTATCTAGTAGGCTATAAAGCTTATAATATCTAGTGTATATAGATTCCGATTAAACGCTATATAATTCGTATACGCGATATTTAATTTAATAAGTAAGAATTCTATAACCCTTCATTACCTAATTAATATATATAGATATATTTCGGGGCTCCTAGTATATCCGATCGGGTCCGATAGGACAGGATCCATATAGGACCTTAGGATAACTAGTTAAGATAGAAGTTCTTCTATTTACGAATAGGACCGCAGATCGTTAAGGATCCTCTAATGCATAAGATCTTCTCTGAGTATATGTGTCAAACGAGACTAATATAATAGGTAAAAGAGTATATTGAGTCTGAAAGGATATTAAATCTAAACTGCTAAACTAATAAGCGAAGGGGTGCTTAAGTACACGATTAGGGTAGTTTAAATAACTAGATCTAGACTAAATTGTTAATCTAATTGATGATCCGATTATATATCGATAATCTGATGAATCGATAGATTAGGAAGTTACTAGATATTAGTATCCGTGGCTAGATTGGCCGATTTCTTTGTAAAACTCTTTATTAAAGAGATATGGTTTTCCCCCGGAGAAAGGATAGGAAAAACGATAGTCCGGTCCGGGCCGTTAGCTAGCGGGCCGTACGGTTAACTAACTTCATATAGCCATATACGCTTATATAGGCTAATAATATATAATAATACTAATCTATCTTAATAAATTACCGTTCTTAACGAAGAAGAAAGCTCTCGAATCCTCGAGGATATTAATATTCTATATACTAATATTACTAATAAATTAGACTTATTAGATCCTACGGTATAGTAAGATCTAGGAGGCAGAAGTAATACTATAGCTAATTTCGATTATATAATACCTCTAGAACTAATAAATTTAGACGAAATCCTCGGAGACTACCTAATTATACTACCTCTAGAACTAAAATTAGATAATTTAGATAACTTAATAAGCGAACCTAACTAATTAGAACTAGAGAACTATATACCTTTTATCCTAATTAATAATACTAACTTCGACCTTTCCGGCTATAAACTACTTAGCTTACTAATTAAGCGTATATAGTCCTATTCTAATAGCGACCGAGATAATAATAAGCGTTTATATATTAATCTAGCTATATATATTTAGGCTTTCTTAATCTACTAGGCTAAATAACTAAAACTTTTAATATTATTAATTCTACTAATATCTTCTAGCTATAACTAACTAGCTAGCTATCCTTTCGAAAACTAATTCCGCTAGGCTATATAGATTAAATTTAGTAAACTTATTAATATATATACGATTAAACCTATTAATACTAAATTCGTTAGGTACTCCTATAAGACTAATTACTAGGCTATTAGCTAATTAGATTATCTATATTACTAACTTATATAAATAAGATAGATATATACGTATAAATCTAATAAATCTAGCTATTTAATGCGGTTTAAAGCGCGCTTATATGTACGAGGGGATATATAGATTCCTAATAATTAAGATACGCAAACTAGCACTCTCGCTACTAGAACCTTCCGAATACTTATAGCGATTACTACCGAGTTCGACCTAGAGACCTTTTAGATAGATATAGTTAACGCTTTCCTAAATAATAAGCTAAAAGAGGAAGTATACTACTAATATCTACCTAGGATAAGACGAAACTCGATAATCCTACGCCTATATAGAGTAATATACGGCCTACGAATCGCTAGTAAGAGATAGGAAGATAACGTTAAAGATATACTTCTCTTACTCGGTTTTAAATTATATCCTAACGACCTCGCTCTTTATACTAATAATTATATAGTTATTATAATCTTCGTCGACGACTTTCTAGCCATATACTATAAAAGTAAGACCTTATATACTTAATAGATTAAGAAATACCTTATAAAGCGATGTAAGATAAAGGATTATATCGAATTTAACTAATTTATCGGAATTCGAATTATATAAGATAGGAAACGCCGAAAAACCTAGATTAGCTAAGTAGCTTATATCAAGAAAATCGCTACTAAA